AAAAACCTAGGATGCAACACCAAGCATAATTGCAGATAGTATGGGTGTACAGCTGCCACTTCTATATATACAAAATAAGCCCCATGACTGATATAAGTTATAGATTTATTGGTGGATCCAGGGGTAGTTTACCACTAAGAATAACACTGTATAGAAAAATGAGGAGATTAAATTAAAATGTGTGATACATGGTAAAGTACGAATTTTACTGATCTTTCGCTCTAGTCAACATCACTATTTGCTATTTGGTATGATTGATAAATGTTTTATACCGGTTGCGCATGAAATTGATAAAAGTTCAAACACATTGATGATCAGCTGTAGGCGAAACATTTATCATATTAGTATAAACAATTTTCACGGTTTTTTATATTATCAAACAGTTTTCTTTCGGAGTCATCCAAGCGTAAAACGACACACGACTATTCCCATTGACGTCATTTTAAATGGCTGTCCATGTACGTACGTAAAAACACATATATTCTTAAGCACACGGATATCGCATTTAATGTCCTCGAGCTGAGGTCTGGATCTTGGTCAGCTTATCCATTGGATAACAAAACGAGTGGATGTGAGTACCTTGGCCTGTATTTGGTCATTTTGAGCTGGACAGCATGCAGTGACTTTCTTTTACAATGGGGTTACATTATTAGTTACACGGAGGCCTCAGGAAATACGAAATCATGTAGGGTCATACCATCCTGTATACCCTGCCAAAAATCTGTGTAACAAATTTATTACCCCTTTGAGTCTTTTATATTGGTTTTGTACAGTTCCCCGTCAACTTTTCTGTTGTCAAGATAAAAATGGCACAGTAGATCTACCTCATTTAGTTTCGTTTTATCAAATTCCTCGTACTGTTCTTCCTGATTCTTTTCTTTTAAATACGTCCTCAGCATGTTTGCCGCTCGTCTGTTCGACTTTTGTGCGTTTGTGGCACATAGTTAGCCCTTTTGGCGAGTATTTCCTCATCAGTATGCGAAGCGAAATGTTTTGTCATTTTGTAAACATCGCCGGAAGCAGACGACGAATGCGAGGATACAAAGACACGTGACCCGTATACCCCTTGTAAAAGCACATGATTCCAGCATATTACTGCTGAAAAATCACGTGACATGACCGTATACCCCCTGAGATTTTCGTATACCCCTTGAGATTTACGAATTCCGCTTGGTACACTGTAGTTTTTAACCAATCAGATTCCTAGATTTTTCTCAAAGGGGTAATAAAAGATATTTTACCAAGTAGATTACGTATCGTTGTAATTACCAGGTAATTATTCATAAATATTAGAGCCCCATATTTTGCCCTCTTTCAACTTCTCTCCTCATTTTTCCATAAATAAATTGATCCATAATGGCAAAAACGAAACACTATTTCACGACTCATAATTTCCGCAAAATAAAACAAGCTTATCCGATATTGGTCCATGGAAGCGTCGATTTAATGTTCCATCCATTTTTTACATTCTCATTTTTTTTCTTCATTTCTCACAAGTGGATGTGTGAACGACAGTGCCTGGCCCGGATTGCACAGTTTGGCTACAGGTAAGCAGTGGTTACAGGTAAGCAGTGGTGGTTACAGGTAAGCAGTGGTGGTTACAGGTAAGCAGTGGTTACAGGTAAGCAGTGGTTAGCAAACACTGGAAAGATGAATACAACAAAATCAAGAATATCTTGTATTAGTTCAGAGTTGTAATTTTTTAAGACGGACATTCACACAAGAATGATGTGGTTTGAGGATTACTGTTGTTAACAGTTTTTAAAGTTGTTACTTACGGTGAATTTTACACAATTACCTACTCAGTATTGTTAAATATAACATACACGTGCATTAAATACATTTGACTAACAGTGACCAGGATGTCTTCTGCTTTTTACCAAATGGGTTTTATGTAAAATCGATAATGTAGGTAGCAAAACAACGGATAAAATAGTCGTTTAGACAGCAGATTTCTTTTAATCATTTCAAAGGCAATTATTTTCCTATCGGCGCAAAAAAATGTATGGACTGCCTACCAGTACATTAATGATTATATGTAAATAGAAAGATAATCTTATGTACAATATCCACTATATGGGAATTTTGAACTTCAAGAGTTTTTTCGTGCATGGTGTACTTGCTGGCAGTGACCTGTATTTTCTAACTAAAAATCTATATACTTCTTAGGATCAAACTAACCAAATTTGTTTATTAAGAAAATTTAAATAAGTCTATTTCAACGTTCCTCTCATGCATAAGCCATTAGAGAGAAAAAATACACGGAAATGTAATTTGACTTCAACAGTAATAGAAAGTTCGTGCAGATTTACATATAACAACGCTTGAAAAAGAACGAGTCAACGACTTGTAACATAATTTTGTGTAAAATGACATGGTACAGACTCCATGCCTCGAAAAAATAACTAGAAATCTAGATGGGTGATACCCCCTTGAAAACTTTTGGATCCGCCCCTGTTATCCCTAATCGGATGGAATACCATGGCCAGTCTCAATGCCGTTTAAGGAAGCTCATCAGCTGGTCAAAGGTGTTCACTTAGCCCTTTTGAATCACACCATACAGCCTTTTATAGTATGAATCATCATCTTTATTCACATTAATAGACATTTATTATCACAAAACAATGTAATAGTTGATCCAGATATATGTATATACTGAAGAATCTACACAGACATCTCACCGTACAATACATTATATACACCATGTATATGTATGAACTGTCAATTTGATGGTATTGATTTTACTCTATCAACTCCATTTTTTACACTTCTTTAAAACCTAATAGCTGTTGATGAAACCCGAGATATCTTTACACCTGAATCTCCAGCACACACACAGGCATACACACATAGGGAGATATTAGCCAAGTGGCATAGGACTAGTAGTTAGTGCCTGATAAGGCAGCTCCTGAGAATTTCTCAAAGTTGTATTGATTAATGTATATGCTTATTGTATTAATTGTATATAAATGTACTGTAAAGCGCTTTAGAGTGGCTTATGTTAGCTAGATAGGGTGCTTTATCAAATGTTGTATATTTATTTATTCATTATATACTGTAACCTTAAACAGACCTGTTGTAATACTTTGAGGTATTATTGCATTAGATCTATATCTGCAAACATTGTATTCCTGTAATTATTTTTCTATTTTTTTAAGCTAAGTTATGTGTCATAAATTACACAATGTGTTAAACATTAAAAAAGGTGGCAGGGTGGCACAGAGTCATGTAGACAGGGTCCGATACTGGGTTGGACATGAAAAGGTATTGGGTCATATGATTGACCCATAGGTTTTTTCTTTAGGTACACAAGTTTACTTCCATGTTAAGACCCTCTGCATGCTTCCATCTGGCCCACCAAGTGTGATTAGTATAAGTCGTTAAAGCTAATTTCATAACTGTTATACAAATATAATTTACTGAAAAGAAAGGATGGTAGACCACCCAGATACCAGATACCACACAGAAATGCTTTCTCAAACGAACTTAAGCTGCAACTTTCCCTGAAAATTAATCCTGCACTGGAGCGTAGAGAAAATGTGGTGTTCAAACAAAATTCTCAAGACGGGAGGGAGGGGGAGGGGGTGATTATGGAAATAATGTTCAGCTAAATCTGTACCCATGCTACCACAAAACCCTGGGTATGCTTTTGTATGACTTTCTTTGAAGAAGTTTGTAAATATATATTTTGTTCCTTTCTGGAACAAATCTGTTGTTGGACAATAAGACTTGTTATGTAAAATAGGTCCAATTGCTTAGAAAATATTAAGTAAATGTGATACAATGAATCTATATAACACTCATTTTCATGAAAGCAAACTGTCCAGAAACAAGATTTGGCATTTTCTTGGCGTACCACTACAAAGAGAGACATCACATTTATATTAATTGGTGATAAACTACTCCAATGAAACATATTATTTAAAGTACATCAAAGATTCATCATGTTGATAAAACACTCCAAAGACAGACATCTTATATTCTATTTACTGAATAAACTGCACGTGATGGGAGACAACTCTTGAGGGAAATTATCTTGTGATAATTAACAGTACATGCTGAGACACCACACACTGAAAAACATCTCGTTTAAAAAAAAGTTTCTATTTATGATATTCCACAAGTTACTGTCGTGCAACTCTTACGTCCTGACACCTTATTGGCAGCAATAGCAGAATTAATTTATCTGGCAGTTTCTACTTTCAGTATCTGAACAATACATATGGTACAAATAAATACAAATATTTAAACAAATACTGACAAAAAATGACATAAATTCTTGACAGAATGTACTGCATCAGTTACAAGCACATAGAGGAGTGCCACTCAAAGTTTTTCAACTCTCTAAGTATTCTCCCTTTCAATATAGAAGATGAAGTAACCAAAAAGGAGTTTTCAACTCCAAGTATTCTCCCTTCTATATAAAAGATGAAGTAAACCAAAAGGTGTTAGTCAGACTTCGGTTTAACCTAAGCCAGAAAAACTCCTTTTCGGTTATATATATAATTTACCCAGTCAACCTCTTCATGGGCTTTGTGGGCCATAAATTGGACACTATTTGAAGTTATAATTCCTAGATGGCAGTTTTTGTAAAGCGTAGGCCCTGTAACGTACATATCCTAAATTCCACCCCTGCTGTTTTCAGGTTTTCTTTTTTATTTGTGTTTTCAAACGTTCAAATTTCAAACAACTATAATTCTATAAAATCCATGGCAACATGGAACATTTCTTTTGAAAACATCTTCTACAAATATTTCACAATAGTGACAATGGTAATATCATAGTTCAACGTGTTGGTTCCCTTCACCTAAAGAGATCATCCATTTCATGTGCCCCTTTTTCAACCTTCACACACTAAATTTTACGGTTTCTGCTGACACTCTCTGCTAAGAAAAGGATGAGAATTTGAGGGAATCTCTTTTCTTGAGGAGTTTGCGTGTCTGAGCTGCCACGTATTCCTTCCTGGCCGGGCTTATTCTCAGTTCTAAAATGTTCTTAAGTTTGGACACTATCTCCATGGCAGTCTCCGAGTCAGCCTCAAAATCGTGGTGCTTGTAGTCATGGTTACTCAGATGTGTCAGCCTGAATGTACACTTTCCTGAATAACGGAAAATAAAATATTTTTAAGAAGACTGCCTTTCATTCAAAGATTTTTTTTTCTATTAACATTGATACAAAGTCATTACTCTATTCTCCATTTCTATAATCTTCAAGTACTGTTGCCATTATTTGTACCATACTCAAAGAAATAAGCACCCATCACTTATAAGCATCTATATTATTTTTATTCTTGCCAAGAGTCGAATCTTTTCATTTTTTTTTTTATCTAAAGGGCAAACAGTGCCTACCATTGATATTTTCAAAAAAAAAAAAGGAAAGTTTTGCTATCAATCTAATTTTCCTAAATTGCTAAGCACTCAAGGGGTTTATTAAGTCAACTTCATGACTTTCCCATCAGCAGTAAATCCTGTTTGGTCCGAAACGTACAAGGACATATACTACATGTTATTTACCTGTAATCTTTTCCTCTATTATATCACAGGAGGCAATACTGTCTGCATCATAAGTGACAGCCTTCTGTCGGAATATGCGTCCAGTACCCTTACTAGCGACGGGGTCAATCTCTACCTTCTCTCCGCTCACCCCTACGATATAGCATTTAAAATCACCTTGTTACAAAAATATGCATAGCTGATAACATGGAAGACATCAGATGGAAAATGTTTCACAAACACCATGACTAGATTTAGGATTGAATATGCCATGGCCATCTTACAAAAGATCATAGCTTTACTTGAAGACACATATGAAATACTATTTATCACTTTTTTTTCTAAGAGATTAATTTTCAGGTTTACTTGCAGGCATGGTTCAGAAACACATGCAAAAATAAAGAAAAAGATTTTAAGTGCAAAAAATAGTTGTAAGTCTAGCACTGTTGATTTCTTAACGAGGTCAAACTCTATAATGTCTATAAACAGTAATGCAATCATTTACTCTTGTGAAAGTGTATACCTACCAACCGGGATGAACCTTCGTATTGTCCTTGAATTTATGCATCAGACTACATGTAAAATTGTAACTTTTGTACTGGTGACTACCTATCTAACTGGACCTCTGTGTTGACCCTGAGTTTATGCATCAGACTAACAGTGTAACGTTTGTACTGGTGACTACCTACCTAGCTGGACCTCTGTGTTGGCCCTGAGATTATGCATCAGACTAACAGTATAACGTTTGTACTGGTGATTACCTACCTAGCTGGACCTCTGTGTTGGCCCGGAGTTTATGCATCAGACTAACAGTATAACGTTTTTACTGGTGATTACCTACCTAGCTGGCCCTCTGTGTTGGCCCGGAGATTATGCATCAGACTAACAGTATAACGTTTTTACTGGTGATTACCTACCTAGCTGGCCCTCTGTGTTGGCCCGGAGATTATGCATCAGACTAACAGTATAACGTTTGTACTGGTGATTACCAACCTAGCTGGACCTCTGTGTTGGCCTTGAGATTATGCATCAGACTAACAGTATAACGTTTGTACTGGTGATTACCAACCTAGCTGGACCTCTGTGTTGGCCCGGAGATTATGCATCAGACTAACAGTATAACGTTTGTACTCGTGATTACCTACCTAGCTGGACCTCTGTGTTGTCCTTGAGTTTATGCATCAGACTAACAGTATAACGTTTGTACTGGTGACTACCTATCTAGCTGGACCTCTGTGTTGGCCCGGAGATTATGCATCAGACTAACAGTATAACGTTTGTACTGGTGACTACCTACCTAGCTGGACCTCTGTGTTGGCCTGGAGTTTATGCATCAGACTGACAGTGTAACGTTTGTACTGGTGACTACCTACCTAGCTGGACCTCTGTGTTGGCCCTGAGATTATGCATCAGACTAACAGTATAACGTTTGTACTGGTGACTACCTACCTAGTTGGACCTCTGTGTTGGCCCTGAGTTTATGCATCAGACTGACAGTGTAACGTTGGTACTGGTGACTACCTACCTAGCTGGACCTCTGTGTTGGCCCTGAGTTTATGCACCAGACTAACAATATAACTCTTGTATTGGTGACTTGTGAGTGATTCAGCCATGGCGGACATGTCTCCCTCCTCCTCCTGTACCTCCTCACCCCGAGTACCTGTGGCAGTCAACATGTACCACTTACACTTAAGATGAACATCAATATCTTTCAACAAATTCATTTAAGAATCATTTGATAACTAATTATTTTATTATTTCAGAAATACTTTGTCAGTTGATAGTCTAGCATCTTGGATGACATTTTCCCTTAAAATAAGTCTGTCTCAGCTGTTCTTATTTGAATACTTGACAGTCATTTTTGCTCAATTCGTTTGATAATACTGTTGATGGTTTTATGGAGTATTGTCCTATACATATGCTGGATACAGCCTCTGGTTTCACTAGATATTTCATTGTTAACATTCTTAACAATTTGAGCACAAAGTTTGCACAATTAACACTCCTCTTACTGTGTTGTCTGACGAGACAAAATTCCATAGTGTCCATGATGGCCAACGTGGCATCCAAATCTACCGCCACTCCTGGCTCTGTCTGCTTCTCCAGGTTGTAGCTCTGACCTGCATTACAATGTAAAATACCAATGAAGCTCAAGCCTTTATCATTGTGTATCTGTTATGCCAAAGAAAAATATTGGGATAATATGATGTTACAATGACACATCAAGTGTGCCATTGACAAGCATTGTAACACCATTTCTTTTCGATCAGAGTTCACATAAACATCAGTACATAGATTAATTAAAATAAATGTAATCTCTTCATCACATGTATTTTAAAAGGAAGCAATGTTTCTTTTGTACATATATAGATCAGTAAAAAAATAGTCTGAAAATGTTCATAACTGCAGCTGTGTTACATCCTCCTCCATGTAGTTTACACTTGATATCATTCAGACAACTGAACCAGACTGTGATGTAAAGTGCCTAACAGACTATTGTAAGAGTTAAACGATAACCATCCACAAGAAGATAGGACAAATTTTTACAATTAAAAAATATCTTCTAATTCTCTTTTTATAAACACATGACATAAAGCATTGTACAAACCAGTGATGTATAAAGAACATACTGGAAAGAACCGGTATATTGATTCTGTATTGTGGTGAATACAACAAAGGTCCTGTATTCTGGTATACCAGTATATTGAGACACCTCTACATGTTATGGTATAATTAATAAGACACAGTACCTGGCCTGATCTTGACCTTCCTCCTCTTCAGGACCCTTTGAAGGATATCCTTCATGGTATTGTCCATGCCTTCCATCTGGAACTTGTTAAAACCTCGATGGGGTACATAGCTGTATAAACAAACAAAACACTGATTATGCAAACTACATATATACTGTACATAAGACAATAACATTATATATATTTTTTTTAGATCACTATATTTAAGATCAAGATAATTATTCTTGACTCGGTTAAAGAAGAACTACCAACAAATACCCTCTGCATCTTCTTGTGACCAATGTTTCACAATTGGAAAATGAGGTACACAACTGTTTGATGAACTTATTATATATGTGTATAAAGTTTCATTGCAATCATTCAAGAATTGTAGAAGCAGTATGCCAAACGTTGACTGCAGTGCAAAACACAACCTTATGACTTCATAGCAAGAGTGTAATAAGAAATCATTGGCAGTGGTCAAACCTTAGAGGATTATTCTGTTAAGTGGTACTCTATTAACTTGACCTCTAATAGTCAAATAATCCACTGAATGGGTAATTTTGTCCTAAACACAAAATAGTGGAAAACTGCAACATCTTTCCTGACCATAATGATTTTCAGTTACAATGATTTGATGGAATTTACCTTTATATTAACATGATGTATATTGCATCATTTTAAATATTAGTACATGTAGTTAAAATATTGTTTAATAGGAACTTACACCGTGACCACGAGAGATGCCTTGGACAGGGTTTGGGTAGGCATGTTTTTCTCCACTAATGCCAGCTTAGCGAAGCCAAACTTTGATACAGGTTCACGTGGGTCAAGGCTGGGGAAGTCCATGTCGACCTCACCGTCATCCTCCGCGATGTGGAGGGAATACATCTCTATGTTCTCACTGTTCAAAGGTCGATAATGTCATTTTTAATATAAACCTAAGATTTCAAACTACTTTTCTAATTACATGAATTAACTCCTATTGAGCAACATTGAACATAATTCATTTCTGAATAAGAACACTTCAAATCATGGTTGCAGTGAGAACCTTCATTGCATTAAATATTTGAAGGTTATGATAAATCATGTAATTTAGTCTTTGAGTAAAATTAGGTAAAATATTCCGTTGCAAAAGTATTCTCATGCATTTAAAGAGAAATTAAATTAACTTTGTGTAAATTGAGTCATTTAATCCAAGATTTGACAGCAAGAACTCGTGCATATGTCTACTACATTTGAAGGAAAAAGATCACACTAAACAAAACCCAAACTCTTTCTAGGGAACAGCTTCATAAAGTAATCTTTTGGCAGAATACAGCTATTGATATTCACATTATTTTTTCATTTAAAAACATGATACACAAAATCTTATCAATAAGCTTGCTCACATGATAAAATTACTATATATTATGTAGATTAGAAGAAAAATAATATTTTAGAAACATTTTGGGATGATTTATATATGCATGCCCCCTAATTCTAAATTTTACTGACACCCTATGAATATCATTATGGGGTCATTTAGCTCCTAGATCCTGGTACATGCCTTGTTGTAGGACTTTCTTGGGAAATGGCCATAATAATAAGTTATATTTGTCCATAAAGATGGTAGCTTTAAGGGACAATAAGCTCTTGATACAAGCCTCAAATAAGATACATTGCAGTGATAACTGTCAACAAACAAATTCAGATCGAAGGTCCTTAATTGGTTCCATTTGAGGTCAGCTAACAAGGAAACACTCCTTAAAGACCCAATTGGCATTGTGTAGGACACATACTTGAGTTTTGGTTCTCTGCCTTCATTTGTGTATTGCCAGCAGATGAGACCAATTAGCTCCTGTATCTTGGCAGTGACCACGCAAACAACAGGCATCGGGTAGGGACGGTCAGCGGGGCCGGCCATGGTTAGAAATATATCTATCTTCCTAGAGTGGACACCTGCACTTGCCTTTAAGAAACATATAAGATTAGGTAAAAATCTCTACAGACAACAGGGACAGATATGGACTTAATGCTAAATTACTGGTACATGTTTAATTAAACTTTTGTAATAAATAAATCAACATGACTCTAAGATTAATCATATTATTCAAACCTGATAAAATCCACATCAATTTTTAAAATGAAATTGAAACTCAAAATGAATTTCCTACTTTGGTAATTTAAAAACAAATGATACACAGGGTGTTAACACACCTGTTATGGATTACTGATGAAGGTGACTTACTCGTCCATCAAACTTGAGGTAATCAAGAAAGGGATTGTCCATATCACTTGACGACATCCCTAACTGCTCTGTAAGTTTGGATTGTTTTGGTACGGAGATGGGAGACTCCGCATTCTCTGATAATGACTTCTTCTCAAACAGATGACCCCGATCTTCCACTGAGAATTCAAAACAAAAAGTCATAGTTTTACATATTTTAATTATGTCTGCTACTTTATTTGTCCTATTCCATTTCTCAGTGTATATTTCATTAAACATGTAATGATTTGTATGTTTTTGGTGGATTCCAGCATCTAATTTTAATGTTTACTCATACCTAAGTACCAGGTACATGCAGTTACATTTTACAATGTAGGTCATGATCAGGTCCTGATGGAAAAAGTCATGGATTTTATTTGAAATTCTGGTACATGTATGCATAGATCACTGTGAATTATATAAGACATATTAAGTAGTATTTGTTCATGTTGAGATATTAAATTAAAGGTGGTCTCTTAATACAGGTTCAATTCACAATGAAATCACTACAATGGAAACATTAAAAGTGGTCTCTTAACTCAGGTAGTTTCTTGATGGAGGTGATCTTATGAGCAGGTAATTGAATCAAGCTAATATGATTCAAACATCATTTAAGAGAATTTTTCCAGAATGTCTATGTACATAATTCATAGTGATAATTTAACTGTTACAAACATATGAGCATACCATTATAGCTGAGAGCTGCATCTCTCCATGGAATGTTCTTAACTTTACGCTGACTTCGTTTTTCTTTCTTCATGCGTTCCAATCTCTGGGCAGTGTTTGACCTCAATCTGTGACCTGTATTGAAATCAAATTATAATTTTTTTATTTTTGAATGCAAGAATTTTCAAAGAGAGATCACAATAAACATGTATCATGCCAAAGAGAGTAATCTATGAGATCATCAAAGGGCAATTCTCCTTAAACTAGCAAACTTGTACCATTGCAATCATAATCATCTACCGTGACAATTACACACTGTATAATGTTATAACATACTTTTATTTTGTTTGTTTGTTTTAGGTTTAGCATCCTAATAACATCCTATGTCATATTATATTAAGTCAGGTAATGGTACCTACATAGTATGATGCTTTGTTCTTGGTTATCCCACGTCCAATCATGTTAGAGAAGTAGAGGGAAGGTTGTAATATATGTATACAGGTACACATTGCACATACATGGGTAGCTGGATATCCGATGTCAGTCATGTTATTAAGGTACATAAACTGTACATACCTTGATATTCATGTCAGTCATATCAGAAGTTGGTAGATATAATAAATGAACGTATACACATACCAGGGTATCCCATGTCTGGCATGATGTCATAGGACCCAGACGATAGCTCCATGTCTGAAGATTCCATTCCACTGTCATCAGCACTTGAAGGGTCAGATCTGATAACATGTTCAAAGATTAATTGAATTATAGAAAAGCTAGCAATCTGGTTAAAATGTTCCTTATATTATAGGGCCCTCTTACAGGTCGTCACATACGTGAACACTTTTCAAATCTTCACAGCGCAAATCAATTTTGAACATACTTAGCACCTGCATTTTAATCAGGAGACTTTTTTTTCTGTTTCACTACTTGAACCAATTGATTATGACTTCCATAGCAAAGCAAACAGAAACATGATGGAATTGCCTGATTTGGCCTTGTAGTAACTGATCACTGGCTCATAAGACAGTTTCTTAAACCATTCTTAAAAAATAAAATCATGCTTTTACATTTCTAAAGCTGTTGAAATAATGTATATTATTCCTACAGATACATATATACATGTGTATACATAATTGTGTGATGAGTTGATGGTAAAACAACATACTTGTGGGTCTGTTTTCTTTCAAAATTATCATTTTCGTCTGTTTCCAAGACAATTTCACACATTCCAGTGTCATCACTGGTGATGAAGCAGTTCCTGATGTGTGTTATCAGGAAACCAGCATCATCCATCATCGCCATGCTGATTGATTGTTGGCAAAAAATAAAACTTTGACACAAATTTATCGGAAGGTACTAACAGAGTGATCACAGCTAAATCGTCTTCTTGGTTGATCTGAAATATCAGTGAAAAATCATTTTGAAAATTTCAAGCTTTATAATAAACAAAAGTTGGGGGCATGCAAGTTCAGAGTTAGGGATTGGGGTCAGGTGAGTGTTTATGGTCATGCCTAGCTTTAGCTTTGCCCCACAGCACCCCCACCCCAGGGTTTCTGCCCAAGTTCCCTTAGTTCCAGAGAAGTCAATGAAAGCATTATGGCCAAATTGTCCTCCTTGTTATCCCCTACCCCCTCTACTGGGTTTCATCAGCCCCTAATTTGTACACTTTAATTTTGAATCCCCACTTACACTACCTGATCATGAGAATGTCAATGCCTCAACTGGTAGAGAGTTTGTATATTACTATAGAGTTCAGAGGGTCCCGGGATTAAACCCTGGTCTGGCCGTTGCATTTCTCTTTCTCCTATTACAAAATTGGCCAGCTTGTCAAACCTTGTTTCAAACACTGGGTGAAAGCATAACAAGAAGATATCCAAACCTGTAAATAGTCTTCAGGAGGGAAGTTTAAGAAAAAGGAGGGAAGAAAGTAGCGGAACTGGACTGGGTCAATCGTCGGCGACACAGTAGCTCAATTGGTAGAGCGTCTGACTAGAGTTTCGAAGGGTCCCGGGTTAAAACACAAATCTGACCGATGCATTATTAAAGGGTCATCACGTGAAAAGGCGTTTTTTTTTAATGAATGTATGTATTGTATGCACTTCCACTTATGCTATCTCGCTATCCTCATATTCATAATCCGTTCCAAATGTCCAGTTTGACCACTTGAATTGTTCGGGAAAGCCCTACTAAAAATAGCGCCGATAACGTCACCTGACTAGGCAGTAAACACAAGTGGTGCGAGCGAGATGAAACGGTTTCCAAAGGGGCCCCCAGAGAGGGGCCGTCAGGCAACAGCAACTTCTTACCGCACTATGAAACCAAGTTATATGAAGTCTGTATTCAAACTTATTGAACAGTAATTATTCATCATTAGAAGTTAATTGCACACTTGCCAATGTTCAGAATTTAAATTTATTAAGCTTTAAACAAAAATTTGTTGCCAATAAAGTTAAACAAGGGACGGGGCACAAGTTTTTACAATTTATCACAGCCTTCTCCCGTCATACATTTACAATTAAATGTCAACAATGATAATAGACATAAACATAAAGTAGATATATTTAAATATATATTGAATTTAGTACTGGAATGTGGCCGGTACAGATGGTACGGGGCTAAACACCTTCCCTACACCAAGGGACAAACCTTTCTGATTTATTTTTTTATATATTGCCGGGGCAGAGGAGGCCGGGTATTCATATTAGCACTAATTTAAATCTTGCATGTAAAAACAAAAATAATCGTTTAATTCAGCAATATAATAAAATCATACCATATTGAACCCGGTAATATTATAAATCATGTAAATCCACGGACTTAGATAACATGTATCTTGGTGACCCAGAAAATATGCCGTGGGCCATCACAACAGTTATCCCTTGGAGGGCCTCATGGCAAAATCAAACTAACCAGTCACTTATCCCTTCCTTTCGCATAAACCACTGTATACTCCAATACATGCCCATTAACATATTAAACTAAGTTCATCTGTGTTCAAACTCAGACAAAGATACTAGCGTGCTTCATAGTTTTAGATATTTATTCATAACATAAACAGTGCTAGCATTTCTGTCGATTCCATCTCAGCTTAACCGGCTATCCGGAAGAATACATGCACCGTACTAACTGCTACGGCGGTTATTTTCTCCTTTGAATACTGCCCACCTGCAATAATGATTCCGTAACGTACTCCTTATGCTATCTTTTGACCATTTGGCAACTTTTTTCGTTTCGTAGCTGACACGGTACAACACTTTTCTTTCGCTTACTTCACACGGCCAGTCATTTTGTTTACAAAGAAATGGTATGCTATGCGCATGTGCTAGTAGAGGGAAATCCCTGAACAAAACGTTGGTCAGACAGGTAGAAATACCGATGATTTTCTTAGATTTAATCATTTTTATGAATCTATTTCAGCCAAATCCGATCGTTACTTTCCAAAAGGAGTCTCACTTGACATGTTTATGTAGTATTTGAAAAAAAGACAAAAAATAAAGTTACTTCACCGTGATGCCCCTTTAAAGTGGGCACTTGCATTGTTCCCTTTGATCTTTTTAACAGGTTTGGCACAAGACGTATATGGGTAATAATCCTGCATTTGGGTAACAGTTATCCATTTCAGTAACAATTTTGTTACTGAAATGGGGAATAGAGTGAAATGAAAACACACCAAGTTCTTTTACCCAATATGGTTTGTCCTTTTCACAAAAAGTTAGACATCAGCATTGATAATTTTTTGTGAACAAATGTACTTGGTTATTTTATTTATTGGAAAGAATAACGCCCTTTTCTTTTCCAAGTGTTTAAAAGAATTTTGTGTGTTTTTATTTCACTTTATATTCCGGATTACCGGCCCATTTCAGTAAACAAATTGTTACCCAAAAGCAGGATTATTACCCATACTTATGCGCCGTTGTGCCCAACCTGTTTAATGGTTTCAATAACTCGAGCACGGGATTTTAACATCAGACGATGGTTTATGATTTGACCATCCCTTCTTCTAGATAGTACATATATATACTTACCCTTCATCTGACTGTTCATCACATCCTCTATGCTGATTTTCTTACCGGAAATCCACATTTGCTAACTAAAATTAAAGACGACCATGGTATACATTATCCGGAAAATCAGAGTATTTATTACTTCACTTCACCTAAACATCCATAAGTTATCCCCAATAAACTATTACCAACGTCTTCGTTTTATCTATAATTGGTCTTAAGCAAAAGACATAGTTTCATTATAACGCATCAACTTCCGGTTTGGTCACGAGTTTCGATTTGACTTGCTTACAATCTCACCTGCAGGCCGAGTGCTGGCTGTGGATCAGTTGTCGGTATCCGCGTATTATCCCCATCACAATGATGAGCAATGTTTCCATATCGTTTATACTAATTTTGTGTGTTATGAAAACTGTTAACGCAAAGCAGCCACATATTTTATTTGTGCTTGCGGACGACTACGGATATAATGACATTGGTTATCATGGATCGGAAATCAAGACCCCAAACCTCGACAAGCTGTCTGCTGAGGGTGTTAGACTGGAAAATTACTATGTACAGCCTATATGTACACCTACTAGGAGTCAACTTATGTCTGGCAGATATCAGGTATAAATCTAACAGCTAGCTTATGCATTTGAGGGGGAAATACAGATGTACCGCGTTATACGTATACGTATACTGGCAAGCTACAAACAATGTACACTGTAGCTTTTCCAGTGATGCTGTATAACCATAGGTGATAACCATGTGACCCGCTCACTACATATGTGGTTCAGATACGTCGAGCGTGGTCATGATCAGCTGGCACATTAACGTTACATACATGTTAATATATTGTATATCTACTAGTAATAAATGTGTACATGTAGAAAATCTAGTAAGGGATAAGGTATGTTAGGGAAAACTGTGCCTATATAAATATTGTGCATAGATTGTCTCCCTTAAAGCAATATGTTTAAAAAAAATAATCAAAGAGCCATACATATAAACTCTAAATAAAGTGAGTGCCCAGAGACCAATTTTAATAAACAACACTCCATCTCCCAAAGATTCACATGTCATCTGCTTCTTCTTCTTCTTCCAGTTCAGTGCAACACCACTTAAGTATTTTCGCACTCTGCGTGAGGGGGTGAGCGTTCAAGTACAGTGCACGTTAAAATGGAGAAAATGTTAAAAAATTAACACAGAGTCCTACTGTTCTACTGAGTCTTAAAGCTGTCCAGGCTCTTGGCCTCCACCGCTCCTCCTCAGGCAATCTGTTCCATAGCCTGATGGCTGTGGGGAAGAAGGAGGTCTTGTACACTGTTTTCCTAGTGTGTGGCACATTAGGAAATGCAGGGTGTGGCCTCTGGTCTGCAGTGCTCAATGTCTTCTGTAGGTAGCTATCCGCTTGGATGTCCACAAGGTTATAGATTATCCCCCAGACAACTATTTACAACCAAGGTTCGGATATCCCCATGCCAAGCATACACCAAATGCTTGAAACAAGGGTTGGTCACAGGACCCACTGTAATAGAAGTGGAAAAATGCATGCACAGCCAAACTGTAGTTCGAACCTGGGTCTTGAGACCTTATTTCAGTATGCATGTACAAACTATTCCACCTTCCCAAGTTACACAATGTCAGCATGCATTGTGAATATAGAAGGTATAGGTAAAACAGTAAAGGAAGTTAATGGTATCAGATCCATACTGGACCATGCATACTTGAAACTACACATTGTTATTTCTCAGGTTGAAATAATGTGATGGCCGGTACATAAAACACAAAGGTTCAACAGCACCAAGCTCTACTTAAAGAGTCCTTTGGTATTCTTATGAGAAGTATATAACATTCTGTTTCAACTTCATAATTAATACATTCTTAAATTAATTACTTTTACAGATCCACACTGGATTGCAGCACAGCATAATCTGGGGGCCCCAGCCCAATGCCTTGCCAAGGGACAGTCCCATTCTGCCAGACAAGATGAGGGAGGCTGGATACTCCACACACGCTGTAGGGAAATGGCACCTGGGTTTCTACAAGGAGGAATACCTCCCAAACAACAGAGGTTTTGACACGTTTCACGGTATGATACACTTCAATAACATATTACCCCTTTCAGCAAAATAACACTCCTGTGAGTGAAATGGAGATTTGTTATTAATAGGATGAACTTTACTAAAGATTCCTCTGTCTACCATACATCACACAGGGGTGGTTAACTGCCTTTCTTCCACTCCATCTAACTGTTACAAGAAAAGAAAGAGAGAAAATTAAGAGCTAATACCTGCTGATCAGGAAATATTGGAGCTTTCAACCCAGGTTATGACCTTCAAAATCTGTTTAGGGTCATGTAGATCTTTCTATTTCAGTACATAAACTGTGGTGTAAATGCAATCTGATTAAAACCAGATCTTTGATTCCACTCCCGATACTCTACGTTCCAGTCAAGGTAGGGTATCGGGAGTGGAATCAAAGATCTGGTATTAATCCGATTGGTGTAAATGATGCATATATATATATGTATTGTGACATGCTTACACTGCATACTAAATGTGATGAGGTTTGATGAATAAATGATGATAGTGGGGTAGGAAGGGAATAACTATACATAAAGGTGGTTTGCTGTTGTTTTCCTGTTTGAATTTATACCAACCTGCAAACACATATATTTTGGAAATTATCTGCATAGTGATTGCATGTTTTGCATATACCGGTATAGTTCTTTAAAAACAATCCACCCTTTTTGTTTTAATTTCAAAATTCTAACAGGTTTTTTGGCTGGAAGTGAAGATTACTACACAAAAACACTATGTTATGGAAAACTTTGTGGAAAAGATTTACGTGATAACTTTGCAACAGTTGAACCAAATACAAAGGAATACTCGACAGAGATGTATAATAATCACGTTATAGACATGGTCAACAACTACAACTCCTCCAAGGTAAGATTATATGAAATTATCTCTCTTCGTTTCCTCTCCAAGCTTTCAGCTGTCTGAAAGTGAATGGTGACAATTCGTAGCAAATATCTTGACATCAAACTTATTTTATATGTGTAGCAGAACTAGACTGGGTCGATCATCGGCGACCAGATAGCTCAATTGGTAGAGCATTGGTCTAGAGTTCGGAGGGTCCCGGGGTCGAACTCTGGTCTGGCCATGCATTTTTCCTCTCCTACATGTATTGCAGTGTTGCCTGTCACCAACCCTTGTTTCAAGCATTGGGAGTTACGTCTAGCAAGGGGATACCCAAACCTTATATATAGTTGTAAATAGTTGTGTCTTCGGGGTCGAAGACTTACAAAAAGGAGGGAGGAATGTAAGTGAATCGTCGGCGACCAGATAGGTCAATTGGCAGAGCCTCTGTCTAGAGTTCATAGCGACCTGGGTTCGAACCCTGCTCTGGTCGTTCATTTTTCTTCTCCTATTACATATGTAAAGTAGAAAACTCCAAAGTCTTGTTGCAATTGATTCAGAAAATGAAACAAAAATTCAGGTATTGTATACAGGTTTATGTGTGATATTTTGATGACTAGTGCAATGTACTCTGTCACTTTCATTAAACAAATGACCATCCAAGAGTATAAAATTATGTTCATTCTAATATGCTAAGGTGTAAAATGTGTATGAGGTAACAATCAAATTGACACACCATTTGGGTTCTGCTTTTTAAGCATATATGTATACACCTTTTAGTACAATTTCGATATGAATGGTCAATATTTGTTTTGATATCACAGTTCAGTTCTGTTTATGATAACTGATAAGTTCAGAATAGAAACTGTTCATCTGATAGTATATTTGTAGGTATGCATTGGTCGCACACTTAATCCAGATTGAAAGTGATTTTTGTTTTATGATCACGATTATGTTTAACATCAATCTGGATAAAACCAGATCTATAATTCCACTTCGATACTCTACGTCCCAGTCTGGAATATCGAATATTAAAGTGGAATTAAAGATCTGGTTTTAATCAGATTGGTTTAACATCTGTATTTATAACTACATGTATATATCAGAATGTGAGTTGTACATCATACATGTATTAGGTGTTTTTAAATAGATTTATTTTGACTTTCATTTATTTTTTTCAGCCCATGTTTATCTACCTGGCATTTCAAGCTGTCCATGCTCCATTACAAGTTCCCTCAAGGTACACAGACAAGTATGCTCACATCAAAAACTACAACAGACGGACATACGCAGGTCAGTACTGAGGAATTAGACGGCAATAATAGTCTCATTTTTGTATAGAAGATATAGAAGACCATGCCCATCATGCCTAGAGATGCCTAAAATACTCAAATGTCACTGATGTACCTTTTTAAATCAGGATGCTTATGATTGCACTTAAATTAAATGAAAACTTAAGGTTCATACAGTATACGTAGTTAACTTAATGATTTAGGATACCATATATTGATTAAAAACAATGCTTAATAAATAGCTCTGGATGTTGTTGTGAAATGTGTTTACTGAAATATTTCTCTGAATACTTGACAGGTATGGTGTCAGCCATGGACGAGGCTATCGGGAACATCACATCAGCATTCCAGGCAAACGGAATGTGGGATGATACCATAATGGTTTTCTCTACAGGTTTGTAATTATCGTTTATTCATTTGCAAAAGATGCAATATAGATTAAGTGCTCAAGTTTTTCCTGCATATCAACGGTTGATTTCTTTATGCAAAATGTATGATTCTTTCACTCATTCACCACTGAAATTTCATAATGAACTATTCCAACCTTTGATTTAGAAGATTTCAAATGTGTCTGCAGGGGTGAATGAGTTAAACATGTGTATCACTTACATGTATGTACAGTATTCAGTGCTACAGGTGGGCTGGGTTTGTTTTTCTGCACTGTAGCTTACTTATTTTTGAGGGCCATTGTTCCTCTTTTTCTAAACGTACATGTCTATTCAATCTACTGAAGGTTGGGTTGATGATCTTGTTGAAGCATATACATCTGGTATAGAAGACCTTATAGAGAAATACGCACCTCTACAGACTAAGGTGATAACTGTGGTATAATGAAAATCTCCGTGTAGAAAAACAGAACCGTAGAAAAGCAGAGAGACAGTGGCGAAGGACCAAATTAACTGTTCACCAACAGATTTATAGGAAACAATGTCAGCTAGTTCTCATTCAGTCAAAGAAGGCTTATCATTCAGAATGAATCAAAGAATGTGGTAAGGACCATAGACAGCTTTTTAGACTCACCAAAAACCTAATGGGTCAGAAACGTGAAATAATCCTACCAAGCTGTAATATTGAAAAAGACATGTCAAATAAGTCCAAGTCCAGTGATTACTTTCTAAAAAAAAATAGCTTGATCAGAAAAAAATGTTGCTGAAGTGAACTCTACTGCTGATATTAACATCTCTGTCATGACTGCTGACATTAAATTTGATGGAGAACCATTAACAAAGCTCTCACCAACAACCCAGAATGAGTTGTGCAATAAAGTCATGACCTTGCAGTCGAAGTCCTGTGAGCTTGATTCACTGCCTACAGACCTATTAAAGCAATGTCTTGAAGCACTACTTCCTTTGATTACCTCAATCATGAACAAATTATTGGCTGAGTCAAAAGTTCCATTGTGTTTCAAGAAGGCACATGTTAGACCATTGTTGAAGAAGCCTGGAATGGACAAGGAGGAGTTGAAGAACTATACCGCCCAGTATCAAATCTGCCTTTTTTGTCTAAGATCATGGAGAAGGTTGTGTCCCGCCGTTTTGAGGTTCATCTCGATGCAAACAGTCTCCATGACAACCTGCAATCGACATACCGCATGAGACACCCTTCTGAGACGGCCCTCCTACGTGAACATAATGACATAGCTTAATTCTGCATTGGATAACAAGTGCTGAGCGGTGCTTGTCATGTTGGACTTGTCAGTTGCATTTGACGTCATCGACCATGGCATACTTTATAAACGTCAGGAGTACTCTTATGGAGTGACTGATACCGCACTATGCTGGATACAGTCTTATCTTGAGTGAACGACGACAGTGTGTTGCCATCGGATCTACCACCTCACATGACAACGTACTAGATTTCAGGGTTCCTCAAGGGTTTGTGTTACGACCACGAAAGTATTGCCTGTACTCCAAACTGATCGGAGAGATTTGTCGCCGCCATAGCCTTTGCTATCATTGCTATGCTGATGACACACACATTTACATGGTCATCAAACAACAGGACAGTTGGGATACAATTTTAGAAAATTCTGGAAGCTTGTCTGACAGATATCAGTACCTGGATGAACGCCAACATATGCTAAAGGTTAATCCGGTTCTCCAGCTCAAGATCTTTGCCAGAACTGTTGAGACTGTCCCAGCTGTTAAAAACCTAGGAGTATACTTTGATAGTTCACTGAACATGGAGAAACAAGTGAACGCTAATACCAAATCCTGTTACTACCAGATCAGGAACATCGGCTGTATCCGGCAGTTTATAACTGCAGATGCATGTAAGATTTTGGTGCATACATTTGTTACCTTTCGGTTGGATTATGGTAACACCCTGCTCTGTGGTATATCTGACAAACTTACTAGTCGTCTGCACAGGGTCCAGAACACTGCAGCACCACTGGTTACTCATACTCTAAACAGAGAGCACATCACGCCATGTGCTATATGCATTGCACTGGTTACCTGTACGATACAGGTCGCAGTACAAAATTTTCGTGTACACATATATACAAGGCACTGAATGGAGCAGCTCCCCAGTACCTACAGGAGCTTGTTACCCTGTATCAGCCGTCACGATCACTCGGTCGGACTCAGAATCATTGTGTGTCCCAAAATTGCGTTCTGTGACGCATATGGAAACCGGTGCTTTGGGAGGTTTTTGGCCATGTTGTGGAATAGCTTACCATCTGCTATTAGAATGTCAAATACCCTGGCCAAGTTCAAGAAGGACATCAAAAATCACCTGTTCACGTCTGCATTTTAGGCTCTTTGCAAAGACGTCATGTAAATACCACCCTTTATCTATTCATTTACGTGCATATTGCAATGATTATCTGTTTGCTTAAGGCCTTTGTTTTTGTTTCACAATTATAACTGATACTATTATCCATATGTTGTAAAGCGCTTTAGAGTAATTTTACAAATTATATAGCTAGGGCGCTATATAAATGTTGTATATTATTATTGTTATTATTATCTGTGTCTTTCATTCAGAGAAAACATGATACTTGAATTTGCGATTGATTATTATGCTAAATGCCAATATAGGAGCGAAAATAAGATTTGGCATTTCATGCAAAATTGTTTTTAAGAATTTAAGAATGGAGGTCTTCACAGCCAGAACAAAAATACTGAATTTACATCCTGTAATTTGTATGTGTTTTGTAAATGATATATATAGTTAGGGATCTACATCAGATATGCAGTTCTGCTATATATATTACTGGTAGCTTTTTGAATCTACATAGATTGTTTTCTGATAAATGTATTTACCTGACGTTTTTATCATTGGCCTTAAGTGTTCGGCACTATGTGTATGATATCCTGCCTATACATGTATATATTAAAACTTGTGATTCATACACCAGTAACCATGGCAATGGTATTTGATAAGTCAATATATGTTGTTGCAAAGTGTTAAGATAAAGGTCCTTGTTTAGCAACCTATCCCAGGTTGTTGCATTAATCACAATTAACTTTTTAAGGCTTGATACCTAAACTCTGTGGTTGATGACATAAATAAAAAAAGAAATTATCAGAAAAGCTTCAATGTATAGTAATATAAACATGGCATCTGTCCATTTGTTCCCTCCACAAATTTTAAAGATGGTAATCAAACTGACATTTTCAGATAATGGTGGAGAAATAATAGCAGGAGGCAACAACTGGCCCCTAAGGGGCTGGAAGAGATCTCTTTGGGAGGGAGGAATGCATGGTGTTGGATTTGTGCATGGGAAAGCCCTACAGAAAAAAGGGGGGGTGTCCACTGAACTCATACATGTGACAGACTGGTACCCGACACTGGTGGGACTGGCAGGAGGCTCGCTAAACGGCACCAAACCTCTGGATGGATTTGATCAGTGGAAAACAATCAGGTATGTAGAAAATTATTTATCTTTGATAAAATATAATTACCATATGACAAGCATACATGTATGGACAAAATGTAACCTAAAATTTAGCAGGAAAGAATAAAGAATTGGAAACAGCATGTAATATCAGAACGAAAGGAAAGATCTTTTAAATCATTTCAGTAAAATACAGAAAAATCAGGCATTAAAACTTAAAGCTGCACCAAAATGGAAAGTGTTATAAAGATTCTAATTATATAGTGACTGGAACATTTCATGTAATGCTAAGTTATTATATATGGATTGTACAGATCAATAAATGATACATAAACTGATGTGTTTAATGACTGAGAAATTTGTGCTTCAAGGTATGTTGTCATATGCAATATGTTGTAATATGAAAATAATGTAGTGTCAGGTACATGATACATTGGTCTCTTGTTTATTTTCTGATATTTCTATAAACTCATTTCATATTTTCTAAAAGCTTTAAAATTCTAATCTAAATATTTTGTAAATTTCAAGAAAATTCTATATATAAATGGCAAATAACACTGCATCATGATTTGACAAACCTCAAAATGACTATAATCTTCTGATACAGCCTTTATTCCTATGTTAATAAGGAACATTATTTAGATACTGATGTGTATTTGTGTATTCCTTTATCAGTGAAGGAGCTAAGAGTCCTAGAGAAACACTGCTTCACAACATAGATCCCCTGACCAAGCCTGTGGGAGATAAACTGGAGGGGAGTCCATTTGACAACCGTTACCGTGCCGCTCTCCGGTGGAGAGACTGGAAGGTGATCACGGGTAGTCCAGGTATGTCATTTATTATCAGACCTGACCTAATTGTAAGGCACATTTAAGGTGCACTTGCCTGCTTGTCCATCTATCATATTCATCCATAAATTGTTCGCATTTCTAATATTTTCTAAAACAATAAATAGTAACATCAAGCCTGATACATACTAACAGGTAATTATTAGGTACATGTAGCAGCTGTCTGGGCTACTAATAGCTATTTTCATGTCTGGGTACAAATGCAGTGTGCATGGGCATGTGAAAGTGGAAATGACCCTATATCCCCATGTGTTTACAAACATGAATATTTTCATTATATTCATTGCATTGAATTAGGAACACTTGACATTCATGATCACATACTTGTACCTAAAATATCACACATATGTAGTAGAATTTATTGGGGACAATCGCTGGTGACCAGATATACAAGCTCAGTTCATGGTTAGAGCATTGTCCGGAGTTGGGAGGTCCAAGATAGGAATCCTAATCAGTATGTTGTATTTTGGGATTGAAGACTTTGTTGAAGGAAGGTGGAATAAAGCAGAACTTGACTGGTTTGATCATCGTTGACTAGGTTGTTCAATTAGTTGGAGCGTCTGTCTAAGGTTTGGAGGTTCTATTTTGAATCTTGGTCTGGCCATATCATATCCCCTCCCTTGTAACTTTTGCTGAATTTTAACGTAGTGTCTTCGCTCACAACACATTTCATGATGACTTAAATTTTGAGAGCTGTAGTTGAAACACATTGTGAGTAGTGAGATTTTCACATTGGTAAATTAAAACCAGCTGTCATTCATGTACCTTTATCTTAGGAAAAACGACACCTGACTTGATGACTACATGAAAGTTCAGTGGATAGCACACTTGCCTTTCACCAATACAGCCACCTTTCAATTCCCTGATGGGACATGAAAAGGTGTTAGGTCAACTGCCCGACTACCAGGGTTTGCATTGGGTACCACATTCCCTCCCATATTAAGACTCTCTTTGCGTTTCCATCCAGGCCAACAAGATTAATATAATTTAGAAATCTTTTTTCATAATTGGTGTGAAATAAATCAAGTTTATATATACATGCATGTATACATGTACTACATGAAAGCTCTCCACTGTGATAAAACAGGTTGATCATTCACACATGAACAGCAATGGACAAAGAGAAATGTCATGTTTACTGTGTAATCTATAGACAATAACCTTGTAACACTGCCAACATTTGGCCATCAGTAATTTGGCATTATAAATAGGGATTCGGCAATATACATACAACGTATTTTGTGGTAATTGGGGGTACATGTAGTGAAAAGTTATTTAATGAGAAGAGGGACCTTTGATACTGGAAGTGAGGCAGCAACAGAAAGAAAGATATTAATATCAGGGTGTTTCTATGAATTGAATAAGTTTAATTTATTGTAGGCAACGGCAGCTGGGTACCGGTGCCCACTGCTGAGGACACTAGAATGGATGTCTACACTGGTGAACCAACAAAGAACATCTGGCTGTTCAATATTGCCAAGGATCCAGTGGAAAGAGTCGACCTGTCAGCAGATTATCCCGACATGGTGATGAAGATGCTGATAAAGCTGCAGCAGCTGAATGAGACAGCTGTACCTTGTGTCTATCCTCCCTTTGACCCAAACTGCAACCCTGAAATTCATGGGGGCTGGTGGGGGCCATGGGAAAAATAAGATTAATAAGGTGATGGGGCGTAGGGGGGATGAGAAGATGCATAATACAGTTCATTCATGCCCTAATGATATATTTCATTGTGAGCATACTTCAGTATAATATAATAGTTAATACATGTGATTTCTGTGCCATACTATAACTTTCTAAGAAGTTATGCTATAATCTTTTGTCAAATTTTGAGAGTGACTTTTCTACTTTTTTCAGACATTTACCCATCAGCAGGCAACACCCTTAAGTGAGATTAAGGTACATTAAATTGTAGTCTTTGCACTTCTCTAAGATAAAAATAATGTGATATCAGAACAAAGTTCCTAAATTGAAACAAGAAGGCACAGATTTTTTCAATTATCACCTTAATTTTATTTAAGAATATTTCTTATATGTTGTCCACTGCATGTAACAAATAGTTACAGCTTTGATCAAATCACTTTGTACATTTGAAAATCGCTGGATATTGTTCCAGAATTTCCTGTGAGGAGGCCATGTCAATCTACTGTTTGATTTTAATGACAACAAAAAAGTTAATTGTTCAAGGTTTGTGATCACTAAAACATGAAATGACCAATTACCATGTCCCAGGTAAGGTAACCTATGTAGACATAGGCAATATTTCTTAAATCATATTTATTGAATGTACATTTTGTATGAACGGGTTCGTGTTTACTGATGTGATGTGCGAGTGTGAAGAGAGAGACGAGTTCTTTACTAATTGCCTTTTGACCTGTTATAAAATTTCAAAGAATCTCAAGATATTACTTTTGTGGTGATATCAAAGAATTGGGTGGCATTTTATTTTAAATGTTCTTACAAAGGTTTACATAGTTCAATATTTTATGCAAGGCAAAGGTTTTTGTTTTACATCCTGATAGTCACAGATAATTCTGTAGATACATTGCACTACTATTGATGTATAAAAGCACATTCCTAAAATTGTCTTCGGTTATAAATCTCATATAATTTTGTTTATAATTCATTCATTTAAGCATATTTTATTGACAATAAACGGTCAAAAGGATTGGGCACAAGTTCTTACAACTTACTAGGCCCTCTACCAGTTAATAATAAGTACCTACAATGTATATGCAACTCATACTTGGAGCCTTTTCTGCTCTCGACTGTATTTGCAATTAGATGTATAGCTGTACTAAATAATTCATATTTTTTATAAAAATATTCACTAAATTATGTGTGGTGATAAATAAAATACATTCCAAATATAACTGTCATTTTTGATGCTTTTGCAAAATAATGATACAATATCTAATGCAAGTTTAGTGTCACCATATTGTTGTATTCATGTGAAGGACCTAAATGATGACAGATTCACTGACATGATAGATATTGTCATCACTTGAATGGTTTCTACATTTATGTTTTATTATTTTTGAAGAATTTACCAACATTTGATATTTTTTTGTATTGCTGGTGAGATTCTACAAATGGGAAGTACATTTGTTATCAACTTTGTATTTCTGAAGTTTCATTCAGATCTGATGTTCTCTTAGTATTGTTGGAGAGTTGACACTAGCACTCCAGTCTGAGGTTATCAGCTTTGTTTTGCTGAAGACTTTCCTCAACTTTACAATTTTTCTACAATTTTAGTCCAGTCACACATGTAATGTAGATATTTGTTCACTTAAGCTGCAATTGCATGTATGACTATTTTTTGTATTGTCCATAATTTTGATTGTGAAATTATAATCAATGACCCAATATAAAAGTTTCTTGTTTTATAAATGTCAATTAACTGTCGCTCGAGTACTAACCATAATGACATGCATTTATTGATAATTTTTCTCATACCTGTACGTAACTGAAATTTCCAAACAGTTCTTCAGTCTGTTTATCCTTACCTAGGATGAGATGGAGAAATTTTCTAACGTGGGATTATTCTGTGATAAGTGTGATGAAACCTTTGACCAGAATTTGGACTAGCAAGTTACACATTAAACTTAAATATATTTAGTTTTATGCCCCCGCCATAAAATTGGGGGGGGGGGGGGGGGGCATATACTGTCCGTTCTAGCTGTCCTGTCCCATCCCATCCTGATTCAACGTAAACACTTAGCAACTTCATTCTTTCACAGATTTTCATCAAACTTTATTCAAAGGTCAAGTATATGTATACCTCAGGCATCGTTGCCTTTCAGGGTTCCAAGGTCAAGTCCAAGGTCATGATTGCTATATATAGAAAATCACTCTAGCTACTTCATTTCTAAACTGATTTTGATGAAAGTTATACACAGAATACCTGGGACATCGTTTTTGTGTTTCAGGGTTCCAAGGTCAAGGCCAAGGTCACATACATTTGCTATATAGAAAATCGTCCCATCCTGCCCCTTCCTGATTCAAAGTAAACACTTATAATTAGCAACTTCATTCTTTGACAGATTTTTGTCAAACTTTTTACAAAGGTTAAGTATGAGTATACCTCAGCCATCGTTGTGTTTCAGGGTTTCAAGGCCAAGGTCATGGTTACTATATATAGAAAAGCATCAACCGATTCAGTGTCATCACTCTAACTCATTTATTTAACAGATTTTGATGAAAATGTATACACAGAATACCTTGGACATCGTTTTTGTCTTTCAGTGTTCCAAAGTCAAGGCCAAAGTCACAGTTGCTGTATACATCAATTGATTTTGATGAATGTTTATACACAGAATACCTCGGATTAGTTACACGATTACATGATTACAAGGTCAAAGTGGCTGTACATGTCACTATTTATAGAACATCAAACACTTAAACTCATTTCACATAGCGGTGGGCCTATTCATGTCTTGCAGACATTTTCTAGTTTATTTTTATTTTTGAGAATTAAAAGTTGTGGATGTGGTAATATATACATTTTTCTGCATATATTGAAAATGTTACTTTATACAAAAGAACGGTATATTTGCTCCATCATTTAATCTGCTATATGTACTTTTCTGAATTTTGACAAATGTGCAATAAACATTACTACACAATTCCATTCAATCATTCATTAATATGCTCAAAATACACCACAGATGATCGCCTATGAAATAAATGAATCATATCGGTGAAAAAATCGACAGCAGGATATACACAAAAACAAAAAACACAAAAAAAACGCAAGAACACAAAATGAAAAAACGCAGAAAAAACAAATGCACATTTTCAAAAAATGTTGGCAACAAGAAAAAATAATTAATACAAATGTAGCTGTGAAAAAACCCCAGTACTTTTTCGTAAAAAATGATTACCCTTTACATTGGCACTGTGTTTTCTGAATTCTATCAAAATACACACTTTAATTACATTACGCAGATTTGAGATTTAATGAAAATAGTTGTTTCTGTTTGATATCATAGATCAATCTGTGGAATATTTCATTTAATAGGTTGTTTGGCTATGATATTCAATGAGTGCCATAGCCTTCCATCTTTTGTTTCTGTTATTGCCTATACTAGAATTCTAGAAGCCATGGATGAAGTTACTGTTATCGCCTACATGTATACTAGAATTCTAGTAGCTGTGAATAAAGTTACTGTTATCCTCTATACTAGAATTATAGTAGCTGTGAATAAAGTTACTGTTATCCCCTATACTAGAATTCTAGTAGCCATGGATAAAGTTACTGTTATCCCCTATACTAGAATTCTAGTAGCTGAGAATAAAGTTACTGTTATCCCCATACTAGAAATCTAGTAGCTGTGAATAAAGTTACTGTTATCCCCTATACTAGAATTCTAGTAGCTGTGAATTAAGTTACTGCTATCCCCGATACTAGAAATCTAGTAGCTGAGAATAAAGTTACTGTTATCCCCTATACTAAAATTCTAGTAACTGAGAATAAAGTTACTGTTATCCCCTATACTAAAATTCTAGTAACTGAGAATAAAGTTACTGTTATCCCATATACTAGAATTCTAGTAGCTGTGAATGAAGTTACTGTTATCCTCTATACTAGAATTCTAGTAGCTATGAATAAAGTTACTGTTATCCTCTATACTAGAATTCTAGTAGCTATGAATGAAGTTACTGTTATCCTCTATACTAGAATTCTAGTAGCTGAGAATAAAGTTACCGTTATCCCCTATACTAGAATTCTAGTAGCTGTGAATTAAGTTACTGCTATCCCCTATACTAGAAATCTAGTAGCTGAGAATAAAGTTACTGTTATCCCCTATACTAGAATTCTAGTAGCCGTGGATAAAGTTACTGTTATCCCCTATACTAGAATTCTAGTAGCTGTGAATCAAGTTACTGTTATCCCCTATACTAGACTTCTAGTAGCTGTGAATGAAGTTACTGTACTAGAAATCTAGTAGCTGAGAAAAAAGTTACTGTTTTCCTCTATACTAAAATTCTAGTAACTGTGAATAAAGTTACTGCTATCCCCTATACTAGAAATCTAGAAGCTGAGAATACAGTTACTGTTATCCCCTATACTATAATTCTAGTAGCTGTGAATTAAGTTACTGTTATCACCTATACTAGAATTCTAGTATCTGAGAATAAAGTTACTGTTATCCTCTATCCTAGAATTCTAGTAGCTATGAATAAAGTTACTGTTATCCCCTATAATAGAATTCTAGTAGCTGTGAATAAAGTTACTGTTTTCCTCTATACTAGAATTCTAGTAGCTGAGTATAAAGTTACTGTTATCCTCTATACTTATACTAGAATTCTAGTAGCTGTGAAGAAAGTTACTGTTAGACCCTATACTAGAATTCTAGTAGCCGTGGCTAAAGTTACTGTTATCCCCTATAGTAGAATTCTAGTAGCTGTGAATAAAGTTTCTGTTATCCCATATACTAGAATTCTAGTAGCTGTGAATTAAGTTACTGTTATCCCCTATACTATAATTCTAGTAGCTGTGAATAAAGTTTCTGTTATCCCATATACTAGAATTCTAGTAGCTGTGAAGAAAGTTACTGTTATCCCCTATACTCGAATTCTAGTAGCTGTGAATTAAGATACTGCTATCCCCTATACTAGAAATCTAGAAGCTGAGAATACAGTTACTGTTATCCCCTATACTATAATTCTAGTAGCTGTGAATTAAGATACTGCTATCCCCTATACTAGAAATCTAGAAGCTGAGAATACAGTTACTGTTATCCCCTATACTATAATTCTAGTAGCTGTGAATTAAGTTACTGCTATCCCCTATACTAGAAATCTAGTAGCTGATAATAAAGTTACTGTTATCCCCTATAGTAGAATTCTAGTAGCTGTGAATAAAGTTTCTGTTATCCCATATACTAGAATTCTAGTAGCCGTGGCTAAAGTTACTGTTATCCCCTATAATAGAATTCTAGTAGCTGTGAATAATGTTACTGTTATCCTCTATACTAGAATTCTAGGAGCTGTGAATAAAGTTACTGTTATGCCCTATACTAGAATTCTAGTAGCCGCGGATAAAGTTACTGTTATCCCCTATAATAGAATTCTAGTAGCTGTGAATAAAGTTACTGTAATCCCCTATACTAGAATTCTAGTAGCCGCGGATAAAGTTACTGTTATCCCCTATACTCGAATTCTAGTAGCTGTGAATTAAGTTACTGTTATCACCTATACTAGAATTCTAGTAGCCATGGATAAAGTTACTGTTATCCCCTATAGTAGAATTCTAGTAGCTGTGAATAAAGTTACTGTAATCCCCTATACTAGAATTCTAGTGGCTGTGAATAAAGTTACTGTTATGCCCTATACTAGAATTCTAGTAGCCGCGGATAAAGTTACTGTTATCCCCTATAGTAGAATTCTAGTAGCTGTGAATAAAGGTACTGTTATCCTCTATACTACAATTCTAGTAGCTGTGAATAAAGCTACTGTTATCCTCTATACTAGAATTCTAGTAGCTATGAATAAAGTTACTGTTATCCACTATACTAGAACTCTAGTAGCTGTGAATAAAGGTACTGTTATCCTCTATACTACAATTCTAGTAGCTGTGAATAAAGTTGGGGGTATCCTCTATACTAGAATTATAGTAGCTGTGAATAAAGTTACTGTTATGCCCTATACTAGAATTCTAGTAGCTGTGAATAAAGTTACTGTTATCCCCAATACTAGAATTCTAGTGGATATCAATATCTCATGGCATTGGCATAAATAGTATTTTGGATCTGTTATAGATGCAGTAGATGTAGCAATACACAGGTCATTAAATGCCAGCAGTTAACAATTTGATAATAATTATACAGAGCTTATAGTAACTATACAGAGTTTTCTTTTTTATGATTTATTAGTTTTCACAAAATTATTTCTGCTATATGTATATATGGTAACTTGTATGAATGTACATTCAAGTTAGTCTATAAAGAACGCTCATGAGAGATTGCAAAATTACATTGAAAGGTTATTATGATGTAACAGGTCATCCTAGATACTCCAGGGTTACGCTCGCTTTTGCTCTCTGCACCCCTGGAATATGCCATAGCAAAATTCGAGGCACGTGGCTAGCTATTCGATTGGTCTAAGGTTAAAAAACTGAATAATCGCTCGGCTGATACATGTCCTTTGAATATTACAGAGGAACAACACCTGACTTTAAAACCAGTCAATTTTACCGTTAGGCGACCGCATGATTCTTTGACGTATTATATCAAAGGATCAAACTAGTCTTGCTGTCTCACCCACAAGGTGGTGCAGACTGAGCCTTCAATTTTGCCATGACATAAGATAACCCTTGGATTATCGAGGATTGCAGCAGGGAAAAGTAGGAAAATTGTGAATTAGTTGTTGTAGACAGGTGGTCTATAAGCTAGAACCTACGTATACATTCGTATCAATAAATAACATGTATGTATATGATTTTCTAAAAATGTTCAAATTGTTTTCATTAAAAATCAGTTGTTCGTTTCTAAAATGAAGCTTGTCTTGATGTATTCTCCGAACAGTTCAAAGAGAATTATTTAATCAAAATATCGGTGGCCAGCAAATCTGCACACATTCTGAATTTCTAAAGTTT